TGATGATGGGAACTCACTAATTTAAGAATTTGAGATTTTATAAAATCAACAATACTCTGAAATGTTTATGTATACTAAAAATAAGACAATATGAGTGAGAGGAATCGGTTTGAAGTCGTGAGTATTACTTTGTAATTTTGTCATATTGCATCTTACCCGCCAATGATAGTGATGTGTTACTCTCCACAGCCATATGAAAGATTCCATGTAAGTGAGCCTCCACTGTTTTCCTTCTGTAACAGGCAAAGCTCAAGGTTAGAACATCTATTTCTAGCTCAAGTCTTCCCACCACCACCCTTTTAAATTTTTGTTTTACTTTTTAAAAATAGTCTTTGTTATCAAAATTAAGGTGGAAATATAAAGAAATTAGAGTATTTAAAAGTTTTGGGAAAGAATAAAATGAAAGGATTATAAAAAAAATAGTCTTGGCATGCGCAAGGGCCTGAGTTCAATCCCCGTTCTGAAAAAAAAATCTTTATTTTTCAGAACAGTATTTGCATAAAATTGAGAAGGTAGTACAGAATTCTATATACCTCATACCTGGTTTCTCCTGTTACATTAGTATATATTTATTATAAATAATTAAGTATAATTGGTACATTATTAAATGTAGTCTATACTTCACTTATTCAGATATCCTAAATTTTATCTAAGGTCTCTTTTTCTGCTCCAGAATCTCATCTAGAATACTTGCATTTAGTTGTCATGGTCCTTTAGGATCTTCTACTGTAATGGTTATCTCTCTTTTTATAACAGTTCTTTTGGCTTATTCGCTAATGTGATTATGAAATGAATTCATGGTTAATATATATTCACATAATTTAAAAGTCAATACAATTACCTAAAAGAAAACGAGGGGAATAAAAGTAGTGCCATACATAGTTAATGTGCATTTGCTTTTATAAATGTTTACTTATGACTACACTAGAAGTCATACAGTACTCAGATATTTTTTCTTTCTTATAATAATTTAAGATCCGATAGAAAACTCTGGAGTACTACTGACACCTTTTCTTCATTTTTGACATTTTGAATGAAGAGCTAAATAAACACATTCATATATACATATGGAATTACTAGGCCTGTGGCAGTTATACATGTGACAGGAGCAGATGTGTTGATTGCTGACTCAGATGTCATGAGTGGAATTGGCTGAGTTTCCTAGTTTTCTAAAATGGAAAACAGTGCCACCTTTCTTAGACTTATATGATAGTTGTATTTCCAGAAAAATTTGTGTGACTTCAAAATGTGCAAATGGTCTCATTGCTGTTTATCAATAAAACTTTGAAAAAAAAATGTGCAAATGTATGTTGTATTTACATGGAAGACAGTATTAAAATTTTAATGTAATTCAAAGCACATTTTAACAGAGAAATAAGATGGGGTCTGACATATAAAGGCCACTTGGGACACAATCTCCTGCATGCGTCCCAGGCCACCCCTACCAAAGGCCAGTGGCCCCCTCCTCCCATTGTTTTGATAACCAAGGAAAGCACCTGCAATTTTATAAAATACTCCCAGGGGGCAGTACTGCTGCGGGTTGTGGTGTTAAAAGAGCTACTTGGTTTCTTTATGTGTGAAGTGAGTTCAGCAGCGGGCTGAGCGGGATAGGCAATGCATGCAAAAACCCAGCAAGAGCCTGGCATAGGGTACATCTTCCAGGAATGTAAGCTTAAAACTTGGCGTGGTGGTTGCATGCCTGGAAGCCCACCCTTCCGAATGGCTAATGTAGGAGGATCACAAATCCAAACTCAACCTGGGCATTTAGTGAGAACCTGACTCCAAATTTAAAATTAGAAACAAAAACATGTTGAGGATGTCATTCAGTGCAGAAACTCTGGGTTTGATCCCCAATAGCAGGAAAAAAAACCAATCAACCAAAGAAACATGTAAGTCAATATTTTAGTTAATTAATTGGAACATGGTGTCCTTCACATGTGTGAGTTTGGCACACAGATCTAGTAAACACTGCCTGCCCCACACATGAAATAAGCAGTGAATTATTAATCACTTACATTCTGAAAAAAAGAGTCCCCAGGGGCGAGCCAGAGTCAGAGAAATTTTTCTGGGGGAGACAATAGCAGTGTATTGAATCAGGGCAGCTGGAATGTGAAGAAAAATATATTTACCCCATGAATAAAAAAATAACTCCTGGAATTTTGCCTCTCAAAATGGTCATCAGATCAGTAACATTGGCAGCACCTGGAGGATTGTTATAAATGCAGAATCTCAGACTATATCCCAGACCTACTGGATTAGATTCTATATTTTAATAAAAATCCCTGGTGATGATAGAGACAGAGAGGATGTGATACATTATTTAACGCATCATAAGGGTTAAGGCTGACACTTCCTTAACAAGAAACAGGTTAACAGGAGAAAAATAATAAGTTTATTTAATCAACATTTTACCTAATATAGGAGGCTTCAGAAATGTAGACCCAAAAACCCAAGGAAACTGTCCATTTTTTTTATGCTTGGGTTTATGAAAATGGACAACTAGGTGGAATGTGATTAGACAAAAGGACACTATTTAATGGTAATAGGGTAGGAAATTCAACAAGGCCTGTCCAGAGATGCTTTTTGGCTTCTCAGCGCAGCATTCCTACTTCTCCAGCATAAGGCAGCACCTCTTCTGGAAAGAGCTCTTACGATGTGCTATCAGACATGGTAGCTCAGAGAATATTTCTAGGTTTTATGGCTGGCTTTGAAAGACCATTTTAGGGGAAGAATTCTAATTTCTGCAACCTGTCATAAAGGAGAAAGGGGAGCAGGAGGAAGAAGTGCAGGAGCAACTCAGAAAGACATTATTTCTGAACCCCCTTCCTTCAAACTCAAAGGATTCAGCAAGCCAAGTCACCATACTTTGGGGTGCTGTGTTCTGAGCCCCCATATGTCTATGTGCACATGCACATTTGAGATTCCCTGGACTGCAAAACCAACTAAGGAACCAGAAGAATGAACAACTATACACTGTCCTTTGGCAAGAGTCTGCTGTAGACCTTGAGGGTGTGTGTGTGTAGAAGAGCAGAGCTTCCATTTGGAAAAGAATCGGTAGGCGGTTCCAGGACAGTGTACATCAAAATGTGTGTGGTCGGGGAGGAGAAGTGGGCTCAAACAAAGATTTCTAGTCAGACTTCAGATCTACTCAATGGCAGTTTCCGAAGGAGGGTGGAGGGGCGAAGGAAAAGGTATTTAAACAAGCTAAAGGATAAATGCTGGCGATTTAGTTCCCTGTAAAGTGTGCGCTTAGCCAGCACAGGGCCTTTAGCTCTTCCTAGGTGCCCATGTTAAACAAAACAAAAAACCCCAAAAGAAACCAAACCAGCCAACCAACCAAAGAAACAAAGAAACAAAGAAACACCAGATAACTCAGAACGCGGAAGAGGTAGGAGCTTTGCAAAACACCACGCCAAGGTCTCGGCTCAGACCACCCTTATAAATGACAGAATCTCTAGCAGTCCTGGAGGCCTGGGTATGTTTGTTCTCGGGCCCCAGGTGATTCGTGGAGAGGCACTGACAGGAAGATCAAATAGTATAAACTCAGGAAAACAAATCCGTGGCAGGTGGTGGGTGGTGGTGTGGAGGGGCCTCACGTGTGTCCGAGGGCTTGTCTGCAATTGGCAACAGAATTAGGATGAATGAGTATAGATTTTCATTGTTTTTAAACCAAGTAATCATGGCGTTTTTCTTTTTCTTTTGCAGCAAGAAAACCTTTGAAATGACCTTGTAAAACTTTCAGTATGTAGGCGAAGAAATTAGTGGTCGAAAGGTAAAACAAGTCAAAGTCAACTCAGATCTAATTCCAACCTAACAAAAATCACAAGTAAATGAGACTACTCATTTGTGGCGATACTTCACTGCACCACAAACACATTTAAATTCCACCCTGATTTTGATCATCAGCAAAATCGAAATGAAAAAGGAAACCTTACTTAAAAAAAAGAAAGAAAGAAAAAAAAAAACAAACAAGGTGCATTCCTTTAAATAAGGAATTGGTATTTTAGGGCAAATCGGATTAAATCTGGAGACTGATATCCACCTAAAGATGAAATTTAGATTTTAGGGCTTGGATGTTGAACCCATTAAATGCAAGCTCAACCTGTTAAACGGCTAGGCTTCCTCTGTGCCTCTCGGGTTAGGACAGCCGGTTTCGGTAGGTGCCGGCCGAGTTGCGGCCTCGCTGGGGAAACCAGCCGGGCCGCGCAGGGTACGAGCCCGGAGCGCTCCAACACCCAGAATGTCACTAAAGCTGGGGCAAGCGTGGGTTGGGGCGGAGGACCTGACTGGTAGAAGATGCTTCCTTGTGAATTCCGGAGAACCGATTCTGGTTGCCAAGAGGGACTCCGGAGCTGCAGGGAACTGCGTGGGAAAGGTCCGGGGATAGTCACAACAGGGCAGCCGTGGGCTCCAAGCATCCCTAGAAGAGCGCCCCGCTGGACAGATACTCCTTCCTTTGGCTAAGTTGGCGCTCGAGGGAAGCTGGGAGGAGAGATAGAGCTCTTAGAAGGCAGGAGACCTGCAGGCTGGGGATGGGTGGTGAGCGGCAGCTCAGCCAGGCAGAGACCCGGCACAGCCCCCGAAGCTCGTGCGGCTTCGCGGGAGGAGAAAATGCCCAGCCAGGGCTGCTGGCCATCCGCCTACGCGCGGCCGCTGGTTTTGCAGACCTCAGGGTCTCTTCTCCCGACCGCTACGCGGTGGGGCGTGGCCCCCGTCACGCCCTCTCGTAGCCTGCCCTCGCCGCTTGCTGAGCCCCACGCCTTGCTCAGGGCCCCAGTTTCCGCGGGTCGGACCGGATCCGGTACCTCCAGCTCCCCCGCAGCGGCTTGCCGCCAGGCGCCTCGGGGCGGGTCCCTCCCTCCCGCACCTGCTCCCAGGGGCGGAGCGCGCAGCTACAGCGCGGCCCCAGCCTCCCCCGCCGGCCGCCGCGGGCCGCTGCACTCAGACCTGCCCCGGCCCCGCCCGCCCCGCGCACCTCGCTCCCCGGCCGCTGCCCTCCCTCCTCGCTCTCGGCTCAGCCCCTCAGTCCATCCAGCCGCCCGGCGGATCAGCGGCGCCTCCCACTTGGCACTTGAGTCCGCGCCACGCTCGCCGCTGCCGCCGGGATCTGGAGCCCCGCGCCATGGAGCCGGCCTTGGGCAGCGAGCGCCGCAGCCCCCCGGGCCCCGCCGTCCCGCCGCCGCCCCAGGGTCGAGCTCCCTCGGCCGCCGGCCCCAGCACCGGCCCGCTGAGCTCCCCGGCGCGTGAATCCGAGGAGGAGCGGCAGCCGCGGATCAGCGAGAGCGGCCAGTTCAGCGACGGGCTGGAAGACCGAGGTGAGCGGGCGCGCCCCGGGCCCCTGGCCTCCCAGGTCCCAGCTCCTTCCCCGCGCCAGGGGCCCCCTGCTCCCGGGCTGCACCTTCCAGGGCGCGCGGGGGCGCAGAGCCCAGGCTTCCCCTGGACTGCGAGCTGCGAGCAGAGGACGCAGCCCCACCTCCCGCGCTTGCAGCAGCTCGGGACTCGGGAAACCCGGCTGGTCCGAGCCGACCCGGCTGGGCCGCGCTCTCATCCCGGCCAGCCGCAGCCCCAGCCTCTCAGCATCCACCGGAAAAGTTTGAGGGAGCCGGGATTTTATGCCTTCAGTGTTGGGCGCCCCTGGGGAACTGCGGTCCCCTCGTAGCTCAGGGGGTCCAGGGTTCCATGCGTTGCCCTTTGGGCTCTCCTGCTGTTCCCCGCCAGCTACCCGGACAACTTCCCTACTGGTCTCAGTGTGGAGGCGTTTCTCGGTGGTCTCCAGGGCTGGCAGTGTAACCAGCACAACCGAAGATGCAATGAGAAGGAAGGGCCAGGGCTTTGGATGCCGCTGGGCTCCGGTGGCACAGATACTCGCCGAGGTCTTGGATCTCAGTGGTCACTGCCCGGCTGTCTGACGGTGGGGGCAGAGGGCCCTGGCATTAGGGATAGGGTCGTCAAGGCTGGATGCCCCTGAAACCTGGTCGTACCTGGAGAGCGCATCTCTAGCCCCTTTGGGACCCCTCCCTGGGCACTGGCACGTATCCCGCAAATATCCATCTCCGCAGGGGCTGAATTCTACTTGTGCCCTAGAGCCGGTGCCCAGGTCCAGTGGTCTGCCTGGAAAGGAACGGAAGAACTTCCCTGTTTGTTCCCGCGTTTCTTATCTTCTCATCCACCCCTCCCTCGTTTCCTTTGGCTTGGATTCCTTGAGGAGTGAACCTTGTTCTTGGCCGCGACTACATCCTTTCAGTTTCTTGCTACTTCCAAATTGGACCCCTGGAACAGAATCAGTGGCGCTGCGAAGATCCCCGATGGTCCGAGGGAGCGGGATCTTAGAAGCCAGGCCCTTCTTTGCGAGCTGGCTCTTAGCACCTCCACCCCCTTTTCGTGGAAACTTTATTTTGTCGGCTGTGGAGGGCTTATATATTTTAGTCTTAGCAGGTTTTTTTTTTTTTTGTCCTATTCTTAGTATCTCCTGTACATTTTAATTCCGGTTTCATGTTCGAATGCATGATGTCTTTCTACTTAGAAATTCTAAACTATAGCATGTGAAATACAGTGACATGGAAACAGCGATTTCCAGAGAGTAGGCAGAGATGCTCCGCGGGAACTGGAGCTGTTCCAGTTGCAACGAGTTCTGCACCCGTGTTGCAGTTTCTCCCCCCTCTCTCGCAGGACTAGATATCCTTTGAGAGCCCGTGAGAGGTGACATGGACCCCACCCAGCTAAACCTGCCACTTTAGGTAGGGTGTGTTAATTACCTTTGGCCTCCTGTCACCAATATTGTAAGATTTTAAATGTGTATATTGAAGAAAGATACGAGCCTGCGTTGGATTTTGCAGCATTGCGGGTCATCTGTAAGACTTGCCCTCTCTCTCCCCACCCCACAAAATGCTAGGAGAGGAAAGTGCTAGAGTGAGTTCATATTCTGCATTGTTTTGCAGCTCACGCTCCAGTGTAAAAAGCTCTTCTGAATTATTCTTAAGGTTGTTCTCCAGTGGTCAACTGAATTTCATTTTCTATTATGTTGTACCCTGAAAGCATTGCTGTTCATAAACCATCCCTGTGTGACAGCGTTGCGTACCACACACAACATCTCTGTTAGAGTCCTGTCCCCAAGAACCCTGAGCCATGTGCCACTGACAGCCAGCCGAAAGTCAGTGTGACATTCTTTTGTTTGAGTCATTCCTGATGACAAAGAGTTAAGGACAAATGAGTCATTTTGGTTAACTAGATCACAAGGTTACCTGGAGAGGTTTATTATAATATTTTTGCTTTTTTTCCCCCTTGTATTGATTTTTGTCACCGCTTGAGAATGGCTCGGTGCTGTGACACTCTCCCAGTGCAGCGGAGAACTGAAGGGGGAGGCACCCTTAGCAGTTACCTGCTGTGCGACTCTTTTGTCTGGGCCTGCTTGGTCCCACCAGGCTGGCTTTCTTCTAGGCCTAAATGCTGATAGTGTGTGATCGAATGTGGGGGATGGCTGCTGTTGCTATACCTCTATTTACCATTTCCTTTTGTCCTAATTTCCTTCTGCTCTATTAAGACTCCAGGTACAGGGTTGCTTTATATTTCGGTGTTTGGGGATTTTGGAGTCCTTTTTTTCTTAGAAGCAATGTGGGCTGGTTCTGAGAAACCTTGCTGGCCTTAGGATGTCAGTAACTGCAGTGCCATTTGGTTGACCCTGTACTTCAGAGAGCAGCAGTCTGTGGTTTCACTTTTAAGGACTGAAAAAAAAAAAAAAAAAAGATCAAGGTTACCATAGACATTCATTCCACCCCTTTTATATCCACTTTTCTCTCCAGAAGTGTTCCCCATCATTCTGTCTCAAACCTTAGGTGCCTTTTAGCCTTCGAGAGTGACAGGCTTCAGCATTTCCTCCCAGTTCCTCATCTAATACAAATTCTTTTTCCTTCGGAGAATGAAAGCAAGGAAAAAGCAATGGGGGCTAATTTATATTGGTGTTGAAGTGATTGGTGGCTTAAACATCCCCATATATGTTTCTGCCTCCTCATACCCCCTAAATAAGGGATTAGTAGTTCACTAATATAAGCCTATACTTAGTATTGCTAGGCTCAAATTACAAAAACCTGAATGTGAAATTTGAGTGAGGCTAGAAATTCAAACGTGGAGGTCAGCTGTGGTAGGCAGGATCCAGTTCTGGGTACAGACAAGAGTCCTCTCTTAACTTTGTTAGGTTGTTCTGCCTCTGCAGGCCACCTTGCTTCTACCTCTGAAGGACGGCTACCTACAAACCTGAGCACCCCGCACAGGTGTTGAGGCACCTGTCTGTGGTCTGTTCATTTCTGAGCTGGACGTTTTGTGGTGATCATGCTCCAGTCCCCTTTGAGGAGTAGAAAGTGTTCCATTCTTGGTATCGGCTGCGTTTTTAGTGAGAAGGATTAGGAGATTGAGTATAAATGGGAAGTCCATCCTCTTTTGAATCGTGTGTACATTACAGCTACTTTTTTTCCAAATTTGAAAATTCCATTGGGGAGTTGACTACTGAGTGTCTGGCGTGTAGCTCCCGAGGCTACCATCTAAACCCGTACCTCAAGTGCTGACCCAGAGCCCATGAGGCGCATGGGTGGGCCCAGGTACATGGCCAGGGCAAGGGGTTTCTTGAAACCAGCTGGCTTTGAAAGGGAAAAAAAAATATGTGGCAGAAGGGAAACCTAGGTCATGGTTATACTTCATGGAAAATTAAATCTACTTTTGAAAGGAACCTTGTAGATAGACCTCCCTAGTGCATTGGATAAACCTCTTGAAATTATTGCATTAAAATAACTTGTAAATGAACTGCTTGTTTGAGTCTGTAGCTAAATGTTGTAACTTCACTTCTGAAAATCAATTGGTCAGAATTCTTGTATTGTATCAAAATATTTTAAAAATATTTTATCATTTGGAAAAGGAAAATAAATTATTGGGGTATATGAAGTCTGTTAGAGTGGGGTATTTTTTAGTAACTAAGAAAGACAAAGGGACACACTTTTTACTTGACATCATCTGTACATAGGGTAGAGTTGGACAAGAGATGAAGTTTGTCTTTTTCTGAGTGCATGTATGAAGGAAGATTTGGGGAGACTTTTACAGTGAGGTAATGTTATATGTACTCTTTACATTTTGGATCCAACATAAGCCTACAAGTTTTGATCAGTTAAAAATTTGGCCAGTGACATGGGCTTACCAAGCCTGTGTTCTTACTGGTATATTAAGGATGTGTTCAGAGGTACATGGGTCAGTCTGTTGGATGGAGCTAAGAAGTTTCAGTAGTATCCTTGCTGTAATTTTTGAACAGAGCAATGTGTCTTCTGATTTTTTGACTACTCTTGCTCTTGTTCCTCTTTCTCTCTCAAGTAGTTCATGTAAACTAGAATTTTTTTTTCCCTCAGGTGCGTCTTAGAAACCAGAACCTCTCTCCTCCTCATAGCCAGCGATAATACCTGGAAGTATTACTTTGACCTTCCCACTCTTTCTGTGTCCTAGCTGGTCATAGAGAAATTTTCTGATCTACCTTGTCTAATATCAGATCATAAGACTTCATTCCAAAGGGATCCTGCTGCCTGCAAGAGAAAGGGATGCTACACAGAGAGCAAGATGAATCTGACCAGACAAGCAGCCTTGCTGTGTCTCTTCCCTCAGTTTATTACCACTAGCTCAAAAGACTTTGTCCAATTACACTTCTACACAGTTCTCTTTTGTTCATCAAATCTATGCATAAAAATAAGACAACTTTCTCTGAGTCTTTGGGTCCTCATTTGTGAAGGCTCCCATATTACATAGAACTCTGATTAAACAGCCTTGTCATCCTTTCTTTCCTCTGAACCTGTCTTTTGTTGTACATGTGCTGCCTATATCCCTTATAGGTGAGAGAAGGTACCATACCTTTTTTGCTCCTATGGCAACTAGAGACTTTGTGTTGTGTGGTAACCAGTCAGACAAAGGAAATGAAGGATAGGTGTACCATCTTTAAGATGAGATCTTAAGCTTTGACTACCAGATCCTTCATTATTTGGGTATGATGGGGCTATTCAACCTCTGAAGGGAACATTCAGTACTGTTTAGCCAAAGTTGATGTAAGCCTCCACTTATACAGCCTAGATGATGTAAAATTTGATTCTCTGTGCAACTAAGAGATGCCATATATGTTTTACTTTCAAGAGAGAAGAAATAAATATAAATCAAAATCGTACTGAAGATATTTTAATCTTTGACTCCATGCAATAAAAGTTTGAGCATTGCCTGGAAGTTATATTTTTTCTTTCATTGTCAGTGTGCAGAAAATAGGAGACAAAAATAGAACCTGCCCTATACGTGGCCTACCTAGGACACTATCTCTGGTTTTAGCAGGTTCATTTGACTTAAATATTCTGAGAGCTTTTAATGAGTGCTGGTATAAAGGGAGGAGCAACAAAAACATGGTATCTAATTCAGGCCCTATGGCTATTGTTGGTTATGGTTGAAGAGAAGTGTCTATTTCTTCCTGCTAGTTGTCAAGAAGGCAGAGCAGGGGTTTGTACTCTGTGATTCCTTGCTTTAAGAATTGTTGGGTCTGTTTTTATGGAGCCAGGGCAGTCAGTGGTCATAGCCAAGAAGTTCAAAACTTCACTGAATGTTGTGCTCTTTTCCTAATGGAGGGGCCTTTTTGGATGGTGCAGCATCCATGTGAGCCAAATGACATAGCACAGGGGCAAGAGAGTGGCCTGGTGTGACATGTTAGGGCGTGGGTATGGTCTGTGGAGCTTTGCAGAGGACAGCTGCTTCATCCCACAGAAGAAATATATGCCCCCTATTGCCAGGACATGTGATTCTTTTAAAGGGATGCCAGAACGCTTCATTTTCATGTGAAATCTCCTAATTGTGCAAACATAGTGTGGGCCAAACCAAACACATCTTGGTTCATGGGCTGTCAGTTTGCAATCTTTGGATAAGCAATTGTAGCTCTGGCTGTGGGTTTCTTAAGAAGGAAATGTCTAATTTCCTTTTCTCCTTGTTTTTGTCAGGCTTACTGGAAAGCAGCACCCGGCTGAAGCCTCATGAGGCCCAGAACTACAGAAAGAAGGCATTGTGGGTGTCTTGGTTCTCCATTATCGTCACGCTGGCCCTTGCTGTGGCGGCGTTCAGTGAGTATCAGGAGTCTGGCTGATCAATACATGCCAGCATTGCTGGTCTTATTCTCTAACCCCTGTGGGATATGCTCTTGCTTTTAGTTGACTATTATTGATGAGTAAAATTTTTTTAGATGGTTGGATAGGCAGGCTACTTATAAATTAGTAAAATGGCTTCTCTACAGAAAGAAGAGGTATTATGGAAAAGAAATGGAGAGCTGTACTGAGAGCTTTGGCTCTCGTCAATATGCAGGTTTGTGGAAGTGGATTCTGGCTGCCAGATGAATGGTGAACATATTCTCTAGGTAGATGTCTTCAGTTTGGGCTGACACGGGATAAATGTATATTCCTGAGATTTATATTTTGAGCCTAATGGAACAAGATGAGTGCAGTGTTGCAGTGAGCTTTCTCCTTTCCCCTGATTATATCTTGTAAGGTCTGGAATAAAATCACATGTACATTTCAATGAAAGGAAAACCAAAGTATCTTCTCCCAAGTTTTCAGAGAAAACAGAAACAAAATCATTTATTGCAATCAAGGAAAACTATTAAAGTAGAATAATTTCCGCCTATAGACAACCCTGTTAGGGGATTAGGAACCCTATGGCATATGTTTCCTCAGCTAACATTTGCAGCTTGTGGAAATATGCATGTGCTATTTATTCTTATTAATTGTGCAAGCCTAAGGATTTAGGATTTACAAGCCTAAGCAGTAAATTTACAAGCCTAACATCTACAGCTCAACCTTGGTAGCAATCTTTTTTTTTTTAAATGTTGGGCTAAAGGAGAATATTTTGTGATAAATTTATTATGTAACAGAAAAATTTACATTCTAAGGAATAAGCATTGTGTAAGGTATCTTAGAGTAAGAGAAAAAAAAAGACTTATTCATTAGAAGATATGACTGTGTGTATGTTGTTTAAAATTCTATTCTGCTAGGTTGGCCCTGCTGCTGGAAGTTGGGATTGGGTCCCAAGGGGGAATATTAGAATTCGGCCAAATGCTTCCTATAAAACTAGGCATAAACTACTTGAAGCAATTTATATTGGAAACAGCGTACCATTTCTTGATTCTACAATGCCAAGCATTTCATTTTACTAAACTTTCATGATACATTTCATGCAGAGGGTAACCCATATTAGGAAAGAAACAGAAATCTAATCAAGGAGAATTCTGATTCCTGAAAACATATACCCCTTTTCCTCTCCTCCCCTTTTTACTTAATGGCTGAAACAAGAATAACAAGCCCATTGATGTCCCTTGAGGGTAATTTAGTTGTGGTGGCTAGTGGGGACTCTGGATCAGACACCCTAATTTACATATGTAAAGAAAGAGGAGTGGAATGAAGGGAGATGATTTACAAACAGAATAATGGTTACTCAGACATGTCCATGTGCCCAATGAAGCTGTTATGACTCTATCGTGTGGGTGATTGAATGAGGACCTGACTGTGAAGAAGTCATGAGCAAGTCTTCCCGTTAGGAGAAAAAAGCATTCAATGCATTGAAATACCATAATAGGGAAAAAATAGGAGGGCATTTTGGTTTCCCATGTTATACCTAATTGGGTGGGTTATCTTTAAAATATTGTTCCATTTCTTTTACTAGGAAAAAACTTGCAAAATGCATACAGAGTTAGAATGTTGCTATTTAAAAAGGGTTTCCTTTTCTTTTTCAAATGATTTTACTCCTGGGCCAGCTAGATAGTTCAGTGGACTAACTGCCTGCTTAGGCAAGTGCAGGGATTGGGGTTCGATCCCTGGAACTACATACTAAGCTGGCCCCGTCCTGGGTGCGCTGAGCTGGCCTGGCGTGGTTGCGCACACCTGTAATCCCAGCACTGGGAAGGCTGAAAACAGGAGGATCACTCTGAGTCTAAGCTGCATAGTGAGACCCTGTAACAAATACATTTTTTTAAAAAAGATTTTACTCCCTTATTGCAGCAGATATTTAATTTAAATCCTCTTACCTCTTGCCTGTAAAATGTGGACCTTGTCATATAATTTCATGATGTATAGTCTCTTTAGTTCTTTCTCAATTTGCCTTTAACTTTTTATGGTTTAGTTACACTAAAAATTGTGTAAGATGAATTACAATTTTTCCTGGTTTAACTATAAAGAGTAGCTTCAGGGCTGGAGAGATAGCTCAGAGGCATAAGCATTTACCTGGGAATCTCAAGGACCTGAGTTCGATCACCGGTCCCACATGCTGCGTGGTCTCCGTCTTGGTCCTGGATCCCCAGGCACAATGTCTCAGCCCTGGATGCCCCCCATGCGGCCCCAGAACTGGGTGTGGTGGCGCATGCCTGTAATCCCAGCACTTCGGAGGGAGGTTGGGCCAGGAGGATCTGTGTGAGTTTGAGACCAACCTGGAGCTACAAAGAAGAGCATAAGGCTGGCCCAAACTGTGTAGTGAGCCCCTGTCTCCAAACCAAAACCAAACCTATAGAGTAACTTCATTTTGAGCAAGTGTGTTTTTCATGTGTTAAATCCTTGAACTGATCTGTGTTCTTAGTGTTGTTGGTGTTACTCTTTAATCTCCTAAAAATATTTAAATGTGAAATATTTAAAATCCTCACTAAAGTCTCACTTACCTAACAGACTTTTTTTTTTTAGTGGGACTGGGGATTGAACTCAGGCCCTTGAGTTTACCAGGGAAGCGCTTAGTCTACTGAGCCATCTCCCCAGCCCCTCAGACTTTTGTATAATCTTTTTTCATAGTTATGATAGAAAGAAAATAAGGAGGGATGAAGCAATATAAACTGACTTTTGAAGTTGTATTTAAATTGATGTCTGAAGGAAAATTGTACATTTCAGAAATGGCAATAAATTTTTAGAAAGTGTTAACATCCCTCCTCTCCGAAGTTTTACTCTCTAAGGAGGTGGTTGACAGAGAGATGGATAAAATAGAAAACTCTGCTGTGGTAAACTGCTATCTCTTCCAGGGAAGTTATCAGGTTGAACCCATTAATATTTTTAAGAGATCTGGTTACAGAATTACTTATGCTTTGGTATTTCAGAGCTCTTTGGAGTTTGTGTGTGCGTGCGTGTGCACGTGTGTGTGTGTGTGTGTGTGTATATATATATATATAGGTGTGTGTGAGGGGTTGTTAGTCATGGTGAAAAGAAGTAGACTTTAGTTGTGGTCTTGTCTTTTTGCCACTATTGGATGGTAAGAAATTTGGAGGTAAGCAGAATGTCCATCCTTTCTTTGAGCTGGTTCTCAAGGTTGTTATCATTACATAAATAAAATGAGAGATTATAAAAGACTATTTAAAAAGATGTTAGGTGTTATGAAAATATGTTTTTGAAAATGATAGCTGGGCATGGTGGTACACAGTTGCAATCCTCGACCCCAGAAACTGAGGTAGGAGAATTACTGTGAATGCAAATCTAGCCTGGACAACATAGTGAATTCAGGGCCAGCCTGAACTACTTAGCAAGAATCTGTCTCAAAAAACAAACAATTAACAAACAATGGTGAATTTTCTTGAGATGTCATTTAGAAGCCAGGTTTTTTGTCTCGTGTATTTTATAAGCAGCTGCAGTTTTGGGAGACCATCAATCTTGCATCTTTGTGGACATGCCTTGCTCAGGGCAATAGCTGAGAGGTGAATGCCCCAGAGTCAGTTAAAATTCCCATCTTCCCCCATTTCACTGCCATTTTCTTTCTTTTTTTTTTGTAGGTGTTTTCTGTAGACTGTATCTCTTCAAGTCATTCATTTCCAAAAGAAATAACTTAAATTAGCACTATTATTGTGTTATTTGTAATAAATCATGTGTGTAACACTGGTTGACATTTTCATATCTGGTGTGGTTTGAGAATTTAGATGAACCTTCAGAATTGTGACTTGAAAGTGCGTTGACTAGGATATGAACTATCTATATGATACCTGATAATATAGTGATTTTTGGACCTGTTCAAGTGCTGATATAAAAATCATATGATAGAGCTGGGCATGGTGGCACATGCTTGTAATCTCAGCACCCTGCAGGCTGAAGTAGGAGGATCACCGTGAGTTCAAGGCCAGCTGAGGCTACATAGTTGACTTCTAGGCCAGCTTGAACTATGTAGTGAGACACAGTCTCAAAAAACAAACAAAAAAGCTCTTCCTATATGGTAATGCATCTTGGAATATTTCAGAGCAAACTCTAGTTTGGTTTTAAAATTGACTTTGTTTATAATTGACAGGCAGTGTGGAAAATGACAATCCTGTGATGAACAAACATGAAAAAGTGTCTGTTTTAATAATGAGGCTAGAAAAAGAAGAGCAGTTTGGTTTCAAAAGTCAGGATTTTGACATTATTGATGTCTTTGTTAGGATGATTGAGGAAAGTGTGTCTGACTCTGTTTTTGAGGTTTGAGTATGAGTTAATTTTTAGATACTCAATGCTTGTTCAGTGGAAAATGAAGATAGATATCAAACATTCTTAGTAGGAGACGTGCAGAAAAAGTACTCTAGACCAAGGCTTCCAAAACAGCTCACTCAAAAATTTAGTGCATTGGCAGATTTAGAGTTAGGTGGAAAAATTCCTGAAAGGAGGGATTTTTTTTCTTTCAGGAATTGAGCCTTTGTACTGCGCTACAGCTCCAGCCTACCCCTGTTTAATTTTAATTTTTATTATGAGGTAGGGTCTTGCTAAATTGCCTGGACTGAACTTGTACTTGCCGCCTTCTACCTCAACTTCCCAAACTTGATTATAAGCTGATATAGGTGTGTGATGTCATACCTGGCTTGTGATTTTAATTTATGTAGGGATTTTAAAATAATTTATTTGGTATTAGTAGAGACTCTTGGCTTTTAAAAATGACACATTAATATATACTCATTTTTATTTCTAAACTGTGAGATCAAGAGTTGAAAGATGGATAAAATGAAATTATGACATATCTGTACATAGGAAAAAGTGCATGGGAACTTTCTAAGACGTTCGCTTACCTGACAGACACACAGATAGAATAGGCCCAAGACAGCCCAGGGGACCTACGAATGATATCTAAGTAACTGCAGTAGCTT